CACCTTTGAAATGACAAAAATAACAACTACAAATGTATTAATATTTTAAACTTTGAAATTATTATTTTTAATGTATTTTGCTGCTTAGCCGCTGCTGTGATAAATATACATATGAAGTAAGATATTAGGTAAAAATTAATTTCTTCCTCGGTAACTCAACTGCGTCTTTCAACACAGAGGAAAAAAATTCTGGTAAAATTACCGTACTGTATGGTAATAACATTTCAGGTAAAACAAATCATAATTATTTTGTTAAAAACGAAAATATACGGTATTCAAATCATTCATTTGGTACTTTTTCCGTTCATTTAATAATGAATTACTTTAAATACTGGCTTTCAAAAGTATAGTTCTTATTGCCACGCATTTAGTAAAAGATACAAAATAAAAAAAATTTAATTTAACCGAATAAATGGCTTTTACCCCAAGCTCTAAGATATCTTGATAAAATTACTAAATTTTATCACGAACTACAAAACCATATTTTATTGTTAATTTTACCAAAACCATCTCCTACGGGCAATAACTACCGAGCTTTTCTGGTGTTCCCATAGAACAGTGTTTCCCAAAGTGAGGTGCGCGTACCCCCAGGGGTACGGGAACAGTTTAGCGGGGGTACGCATTCTTATACGAAATATCTTGCAACAAACGAAAATTTCAACAAAAAATTTTTTAAAAACAAAGCTAGCCATTAAAATTTATGATTACGTATTTTTCTATTGGCTATTTTTTGCAGAGTAAACATTTAATAATTAGCGGTATCAACAGCCAGTTGTGATTTTTAACTTTTGTGCAATTTTTTTATAGTAAAAAATACATTCATTTTTTTTATTAGTGGTACACAGCGTTATGAAAAATTTAGAAAGGGTACACCAAAGTCATAATTTTGGGAAACACTGCCATAGAACACCAGAAAAAAAACCCGGCTCCAGAAATATGGTAAATTTTACCGTATTCTGGTAGTTTTGACCGTACTTGTTTTCTCGGTGAAAATTTTATGATGTTTATTCATTTTTTTAATGAATCCTTTCAGCAGGTTTCGTGAAATAATTCAAAATCTAGCCAAATAATTCCATATTGGGGAGACATAAAAAATGCACTGGCGTATGTAAATATTCAGAACCCGGACGATATTCAGACTCCCCTCATTCCTTTACGTCAATTATGTTCTTTTTTCCTTTATTCACCTCGGAAATGGAATCGGAACACAGAGGGGTGGAGGGAAAAGAATTATGAAGGGACGTATCTATTCCATTAAGTAAGTAACTAGCCTCCACACGCTATACCCTATTCCCGGCTGCTAACCGGACATATGTCCCTGTCCACCTATCCTGATGAACATCTTCTTCTCTCTGAATGTGTCAGTTTCTTTTTCGAGGAATGGTGACACGTGTGGCTCATCTCCCTTTCTCTTGGATTATGTGAGCTCTTTATGAAGGGGAAATGACTGCTCCTGGATGTTCGAATAATCTTCGGGAATACGACGTGATTCGAATGTCCTGTGGATTGTCATCAACCCCTCTCGTCTGCCTGGACATCTGCGATTTATGTGAGAGGTCATGCGTATTGCAAAGCATATCTTGGGAAATTACGGTTTAATCAGCTTTTTATCTAAAAAAATTGCCAGCCCCCATGTGTTAAATACTGAATTTTTCTATATTTTTAATTGTTACGAGTTAATTTAGTATTAAGGGGACCGGAAAGTAATGTCGCTTAGGTGCATTTGATATTTGTAATCAGGATTTTATTTTTAATCAATAATGTATTCACCATCGTTAGCTACAACATTTCAATGCCGGATCGAAAATGAATCGAAATGCATCTAAAAAAAGAAATTAAATGGTTTTTAAGACTAACGAATATTTAATGCACCGAAACGTCACTACTTTCCTGTCCCCCTAATATAATTGTAGAGCTGGGTGGTTGAAGGTGCTAAGTGATATTTTGAAGTGATAATGATTATTCTTGTGTAATAATAGTTCATTTCGTACATGAACCACAGGACTGTACTTAAAGAATTTTTTTTTTTATAACTTTTAAAATTATGAACTAATTTAATATCACTGGGTGAAGATTCTCTTTTCAATCAGTACTTTAACCATAATATTGCGCTTATGCTCTAAATCCTTAGTGTTTTGATAAAAATTACCGACCTATTCGGTGTTCCCATAGAGCCAGAAATACGGTAAATTTTACCATATTCTGGAAATTTAAGTATGTATTTTATCTCATGGTGAATATTAATATGAATACTATAAAAATTTTAACCCGGATATGGAATAAAAAATATGTTAATATTTTTCGAATATTTAGTTAGAAAACTATAAAAAAAATTGTTTTGCTTTATAAGATAGTTTTATTTATAAAAACATTAAACTTCAATGAAATAACTGTACTTCTGATCTTTATTAATACTTAAAAGAAGATTTTATTAAGAAAACCAGAACTTAATTTATTTTGAATTAAGCAAAATTAAAAAATTATTACTATTCCTGGATAGAAAAAAAAATTATTGATATTCAATTTAGTTTGAAAATTATTAAAAGATGTAACTTGGTTTCTAAAATTTGGTAATTTATAAAAGCATAAAACTTCAATAAAATAATTGTACTTTTAAATTTTATAAATCTAACACTCAAAAGATGATTTTATTTTTTTATAAAATCAGAACTTAAATTTATTTTGAAATAGCAGAAAAAATTATTAATATCGATAAATAATTTAGTTAGAAAATTCTAAAAAGAATTATCTTGTTTTGTAATATTTGGTAATTTATAAAAGTATAAAACTTTAATAAAATAATGGTATTTTTCGTATTTACAAACGTAACATTTAAAAGAGGATTTTATTTTTTTAGACAATTAGTACTTTATTTTGAATAAACAAAAAAGTTATTTCCCATTATTTATAAATTGCATATGTCATATCTGAAAATTTTAATATTAAGGTAGTTAATACTTTATGACAAGATGAATTTTTTGAATACAATAAATTCTTTATTAATCTAGTAACTTACATTAAAGATAACACAATTAATGTCAGCGAAAAATATGAATTTTTAAGAATTTAAAGTTAGATAAAAAGCTTATCCTTTTTTATTTTTAAAAAAACCGTTACTTATAAAAAAATCGTAAAAATATTCCCGAAACATATTACTCTTTTACTTTTAAAATAAAACATTTACTAAGCAGTTTATTTTTTGCATTAAAGCTTATTCTTTTTTATCACAAACGAGCACGGTAAAAAAATAGTAAATAATTGCGTTAAATTTGAAACAAAAACGTTTCTTTAAAAAAAAATCATTTGTGTTTTAACATAATTATTTTAATAATACATGATTATTAAATATTTATCACACTGAAAACATTCTAAATAAAAATAGAAAAAAAAACTTTCATTGGAATTACATATAAAAAACTGTGGCAAATAAAGAGTTTTTTATATAATGTCGTGATCTGAAAGAAATCTAGAGATATACTAATCCATTTTTCCTCTTTTTTTTATACCCATCAGAAAAATTATGTTTATCATATTTGCTGAATTAATGAACTTATAAAAAGCTCAATGCAAATTATCTCTTTCTTCAAATAGTTCTTTTTTATTATCCGATAAAAAAATGAAGTAAAAAGTTTTATAATTAATTAAACTTTATCTACATTTTTATTTGATATCTTTCAAAAAGTTAAAAGGAAACGTTTTTACGATTTAATGCAACAGTTTTATTGAGGAATGTTTTGTTTATATATTTTAGTCTTTTATTTTTATTTTTTTATGTCGCTCTCAATTGATAAATACATGTGTTACAAATACGATTTGTCGAATATGAATTTACGAAATCATTTTTTTAAAAATTTTTTAGTAAATTTCTCTCAATTCAAGTATTTGAATGGAAAATCATATCTATGTGCTTATGTGTCTAGCCATATTTTATTTTATTTTATAATTTTATAATCGTTGTTGAACAGCCGACCCAATTTTTTGGGTTCACGACTACTGATGTTCAACTCCGTATCCTTGTAATTTAAATCCCAATCCAGAAAACAGGGAAACTCCTGGATCAAGTATTGGAAAAAATTTGCCTTCGTGGAGGACTTTTTGATGGAACTAACTCGCATTTGTGTTACAAGGAGAAGAATACCCCGAAAACCTCTCACGATTAATCTGACGACAAGGGGACTCAAACCCATAATCCATCTACCACTGAGTATATTTTACGTCAGCACTGTGGTCGGTGTGAGCCGGGTGTGGAATTCGTATCGACAAGCCTTCGCTGTGATTCGAATCCAGTTCACCACCATGCCATATTATAAATATTAAGCATCTTACACTGTAAAAAAAGAGCAAAAACGTGTCAAAATAGTCCGAAACCAATAAAAGTCAAATCGGAATGAGCAATGTATTCAAAACATTAACTCATTCCTCAGCAATTCGTATATTCACTTCAGGATTCGAACCTAGAACCTCCGTGATCGTAGTAAGATGCTCTAATCACCACAGTAGTGCACCCCAGTACGGTAAAAAATAAAGAAAACTGTATAGTGGTCATCGTAATGACGCTTGAAATACATTCCATTCGCTTAAATTTTTTTTCCTTTGGATGGGGGACCGTATAAAGCTAATCACAGATGGCGCTAGGGGTTAAAATTCGTCATAAGAATTTCGGGTAACTACTTCCGATTGATTTTTAAGCCTAAATTTGTAAAAGTGCTCCATCAAATATTATTATTCTCGAAGAGTTCGCAATTTAACGTGTTTTCTAAATTTAAATTTCAACGAAACAAGCAACAAAAGAGCTTGGAAGACTCAGTAAACATTCTATGCTCTGCAAGATGCAACCAGATGATTTATTTTCAATATCGAACTCATGTTATCATTTAATATCAAAGCATATGTTGACTTTTTCATGTTTATGCTTCGATAAGCATAAATTGATGTACTTTAATAAAAAATGGTTGATTTTATTACTCCCAAAACTTAACATGCCTAATTTTCTTTTTCAGAATATTTGTCTTGGGGTGAAGTTTAAGAAAAGGACAACATGAAGTCGTATTCTCAGCAACTGTATCAGCGGTACCAAGTGTAAGATCATTCTGATCTTTTTACCGCAACTATAAAAGAGGAAAAAACATTCGAAGAACACTGTATTTTCCTTTTCTTCGCCAACCATGGTTCCATCTCGGAGTTCAAAAGACTTTTTTAGAAGATCGTGGTGGCAACTCATATTTCTTTGTATGACGTCATTTGTTAGTGATTGCGCATGGCAAGACGGATTCCAACCTCTGATCAAAGTCGCACAACTCGGTAAGTCACGATTTCAATTTTCTCAGATAGATTCTTGTTTGAGGGCACAAAGATAGATACAAAATATAAAGCCTAATATTTTTATGTTTCTTAGTTTTTTTTTTCCTTCTCTTGTCAGAAGCGATGGCCATATAAATGATTGAAATAGGTTCTCTAAAATTCCAAGGTGAAGATTCACTTTAGACACGTGTTCGAACTTTTATGATTTGTAACACACAGTCAATTTACATAATTTCTAATCAAAAATATAGATTATGTTCATGATTATTTAAATTAGAAACTATGCTATACTCAAAAAGCTTTAAAACTTGCTCACAATTTAAAGGACTTTGCACGCTAATTGAAGAGTCATGGTGCGTAGCGTTTTTGAAAAGCGCTTAAAGGTGCTTATTTTCGATTTTCGTGTTTTAAAAGCCCTTAAAGCTGCTTTTTTTTAGTGGGAGTTTTTAAAAAGTGCTTAATTTTCCCTTTTCGAAAATGAGAGATTTTTTCTTCTTTACCATATCGATTTTCACTGCGTATTATGCAAAAGCGTAGTTTTCACATTGTTCTATTCAACGTTTTCACAATTCATTCAACCACAATCCATTTCGGCGTACTTTCGGCCCATAGCGTATGAAAGAGCCAATCATTTTACATGTTTGATGAAATACTTGCGAGTCCGCATGTGCGTCTACTGAGCTGGATTCGGCGAGATTCTTGCACTCTCATGTGCAACTCTTCTGCATTTTGCAACATATTCTCAAATTCAGGTTTCATTTTCTATCTTCTGAAATCGAACAAAAAAATATCTCTATCTCTTTATGGTGGCTAATATAAACAAGGAAATAGTGTTTTGTCAGAAACTAGTTATTTTATCATATGATCATATTTATTTTATCATATGATCATGTGTGTGATATTATGATCATGTAAAGTCTTTGAAAAATATTTTGCATTTTGTTAATGTATATAGTACTTAAAACTATTCTTTTAGTGCTTAAAAAGCACTTAAAAGGTTGTTATTTTTTGTTGAAACATTTGGCTACGCACCCTAAGTGTGTTAAATGTTAAACCATAAAATGGCTCAAATTTGCTTCAACCTTAATGCATTTTTTTAGTTGAACTGTATTATTGAACAAATAAAACCATTTTGTACTTGGTAACATCACGCTATAGATCAATCTGAGCTAAAACATAGTTACGTGATCACGAATTTATAGGATTTATAAGGAAAGTGGCAGAACAAAAAAAATAGCCTAATTCGATCGTTGATTTAAGTATATAATAGCGACAAAAAATTGTAGAATAACTTTAAAGTAACTATAATTACAGTAAACTAGTTGGAGTTACTTTATAGTTATGTAGTAGAAATTGTAGATAATTGTAAAGTCGTCATAATATTTATGCTGAAATGAATAAAATGGGCTCTGAAATGAAAGGGAGGATATATAAAAGCAAGGTTTTTGTCAAATTGCTCCTATAATTTAAAGGACATTTGGAGCCATGAAATTGTTCAATTTTGCTGTACTCTTACTACAGTTTTAATTTGAACCATATTATCAAACAAATTAAACCACCACAATCTTGATTACATATTATAGTACAGAATAAAATTAGACATGATTTTGAATCTATGGACTATTTATAAGGGAAGACATGCATAATGAAATATTACATAATTTGCTCAGTGATGTGAAATAAGACATGATCATGAATTTATGGACTATTTATAAGGGAAGACTTGCAGAATGAAATATAACATAATTTGCTCAGTGATTTGAAATTAGACATGATTATGAATCTATGGGCTATTTATAAGGGAAGACTTGCAGAATGAAATACAACATAATTTGCTCAGTGATTTAAGTATATAGAAGAAAAAAAAGAAACTTAATAAAAACTGTAAAGGGCCTCATAAAATCTAAGCTGAAGTTCGCGAAGCTAATTTTGAAATAAAAAGAGGACACATTAATTATTGATTAAAAAAGGGTATTTCTTTAAATGTCGATAAACTACAAAATATGTGTTTCATTCCATAATCACGGTTCATGTGTTTTTAATTATTTTATCTCTTTTTAATGATCATTTTAAAACGATTATTCAATAAAATGTTCCAATAGGCAGACGACAATAATTGTTAAAATGCATTTTATAAGATACTTCATTTAAATGTTCTCTAAACCAATTACCATTTTAGAATTATTTCCCCTAAGCATTTTAAAAGAATTATTTAATGAACAGTTTTATTCAAAAGAGTGTTTGGATTAAAATGAGTGATGTCCGTTTCAATTTCAGGAATGTTTTGCTGCGGATGATACATGGCGCCCCCGATACACCTGCGAATTTCGTTCTGGGACTAATTAAAATTATAAAACGATTAATTATTTTGTCCTAGTTACACACGCGTTGTTAAACAAATAGGAGACCTTTATTTTGTGATTCTCGCCACTGCCTCTTGCAGCTACAACTTGCAGCTACAACTTTACCTTCACCCCTTCTGATCTCTAGAAATTCCTGAATATGGATAGAGAGGAAAATTAATATTTATGAGAAATTTCAAGCGGGCGTTTAATTTTCTGTAAAATGAGATGTTTTATTCTAGAATGAAACGATTCATTAGAAATGGAACTTTTATCTTCTTAACGTTGTACTCGGCGGCAATTAAAAGTTCTATAATAAATTTCTATTTATTTAGAATTTTTATTTCTAGTGATAGTATTTTCTTATAAATATTCATGAATAAAGCGACTTAAAGTTCTTAATAAAAGTTCTCAATTCGACAGAAAATAAAATGACGGGTTTTGTTTTTGAAAAAACACGTTCAAAGATATTTTTACGCTGATTTCGAACTTGAATATTGTTAACTTTTTTTCCCTATTTTTTTTTTATCTGCTTTGTGTTTTTATCATTACGATTTCTTGTTATACGTAATTCATAATTAAAATGATTAATAGTATCTTTAATTAAAATCGATTATTTAAAGGAAGTATCTTTAATGAAGCGGATTATTTTATGGAATATTTTAAATGGAATATGAACACATCTTTAATTCTAATGATTATTTTAATACAATCGATTATTTTGTAAAAGATAAAGTTATTGAACTTAAATAATTGAGTTTAATTTTATTGCATATTTTATTTATTTTAATTAATTTAACGTGCTGTTTTTTTTTTTTTCATTCGCACTCTGTTAGAAATTTCTCGGAAAAATTGGTTACATTACAATTTATTTAGTTGTTATTTAACCATATTCAAGCAAAACAGTCAAATAACTATAAATAATATGGTCTTCAAACTGTTAATTATGACAAGAACCGATTATTATCCGTTTCCTTTCAATAGGGTTAAATAACCAGAATTTTATCGCACCAAATGAAGTCATTTAGTTCCCAGCGTTGACACCACAATATTTTCTCCATTTCCTTCAACACATGAAGAGTTTTTATTATCCAGCACTTCCTGTAACTCCGGACTATTAGAATATGATACTCTCTTTCATTTGTAGATGGCGGCACCATAAAGCTGCCTAACACAAAAAAGTCTAGTATTTCCCAACGCTTACGATAGGTGAGAAAATCAGATAAGCTAATAAAACCACATTACAAGGTTCATTTTATAAAACACAACTTCACTGCAATGTCCTATTACCTAACAGAAAGACTAATTCCAATGCCCAGTAAAATTTCTTTTCTTTCGGTTGTGAAACCATGCTAGCTGTAAATGGTTAAAAAAAACTGCATAATTTAGTATTTATAGTTTTAAAACCATACTAGCTGTAAACAGTATGCAAAAAAATTTTCTTTACCGTAAACTTTACGGTCAATTGGATGGACCGACAGCTGACGGTTGATTTACCGTAATTTTATAATAAAAATTCTAACAGCGCAAATTCAATAAATACATTTACTTCCCGTAATTACTTAATAATTAGTTTTAATAATTTGGTTTTAATAATTGTTTTATCCTATTTGGTTTTAATAATTGTTTTATCGTAAACAAAATTAAATTTCCTAGCTGTTATTTATTCTATATTTACAACAGAACAAGATGGATATAAAATTTGAAGCTCCGAAATCTCTTGCCGTTATTTCATACAAGATAACCATTTCCGTAATTTTTTTTCTTCTCTTGTCTAATTTGCATATTTAAATAAAGCTGTCACACTATATACCTTCAACTCCTATTATAAAAATAAAAATAACAGCTTGGATTTATTTCTAAAAGCCTGGCGAGTTGAGTATTCATTAAGCAAGTAAACACTCCACTGAGCGCAGTTTCGCTTATTTTTCGTAAACTCTTCAAGTTTATTTCGTAGCTTTTATTTTATATTTTAACCAGCTTTCACCGACCCTAGCTCTAAATGAACGTCTAATTAAATTACGTTAGGAAACGTCTTTCAACGATAATAACTTTCACATTTTACCAAAAATGGCCCCGAGTCTTCATGTAACCAAATCAATAGAACGAAAAAATAAGGTTCTTAGAAAACGATGCTGAAAGATAAAAGAAATATTTTAAGGGTTTTGTACTTCGGAAAAAAAAGAAAGCTTAATTTTTTTTTTTTAAATCATGCTGAAGAATTTCCTTTTTTATAAAAAAGGCTTTCTGAAAAAATTTTGAATATTTTTAATATTGATGAATAAATAACATTTCACGCTTGGATAATTTAATAAGCAGAATGTTTACGTAATTAAATATAGTTGAAGTTCTTTATATGTTTGAAATTGTTACAAAATAAACCCTTTTTTTTATAGTTTTGTTGCATGCATTTCATGCGAAATTTTATGCGTTTCCTTTTCTAACAGTGTTCTTATTATAAACATTTCTTGATAATTTTCATGGTTTAGATAATAAAAAAATTTAGTTTTAAAAAGATGTAAAGATATTTATTTTTAAATAAAAATTACCTACACTGTATATTCTGGATCGAATCACGGGAATAAGTACCGGCACTTTGTGGATGCATCATCCGTAAAATGCATTTTTACCATAAAGTATTATACCGTAATTTTACGG